GCCCACTTGTGTTCCCCCCTCTTCCCTAGAATCACGGTGTTTGTTTCAACTTATCCCGTGACTCACACAATGCTAGGATCTACACTTCAGCATTCTCTTTGTCATTCATCTGCCTGCATACACCAGTCACTTCTCTTCCCCCAGTATGCAGTCCCCCTCCCCTGTCGTCTGCACATCGCTCCTTAACTCTGGACTCGATATCCACTCAAACCAAATCCCTGCATTGAGCCTCTCTGCTCGACACCTTGAGCACACACACACACACACGTTGAGAGATCACACGAAATCCACACTGGAGTCCAGAGATGCAAAGTCCAGATATACGCAGCTTAGAAATTCCAATAAATTATCACATTAAATAGTTTCGGAGAACCAGTCACCAAGCGCTCAACAGCACAGAATTCAGAAACCCAATACCAGCACCCTCATCTAAGGTATAGGTGACTCTCTTCTCTCTCTGGCTCACCCTCTCTTTCTTTCTCTCGGTCTTCTCTCTCTCTCTCTCTCTCTCTCTCTCTCTCTCTCTCTCTCTCTCTCTCTCTCTCTCTCTCCTTGAGAATCTTGACTCTGAATACATCTGCTGCTACTCAGCTCTATCCCCACTACTAACTTATGCCGCTATGGTCGCCTTCCCTCTCAGTGCAGCGCTTCCCAGGAGGGCTCTCGCGCGCATGCTACTCGCAGATAGCACACAAGCACTTCAGCAGCACTTCCACACTTCTCACGAATGAGCAATCTCCCCGAAATGTGGCTGGCCAGTCCTTATATTGACTTGGACTGAGCCTCAACTCGTCCCAGCCTCTGCTTCCTATGGCTCGACTTGGACCCGGTACCACATGCCCACGGCCTGCTTGCTTCAGAATGTCAAGGACTGGTACTTTCCGGAAATTTCATTGGTGTGCTGCTGCTTGAGTCTGTGAGTCACGACTTTTCATCTGTGGAACATGACTTTGACTGTGGGTTGTGACTCTTGCCTCTGGGACACGACTTTTGCCTGGAGAAGTGTCCTTTGCCTGTGGGACATGACTTTTCAATATGAGACGTGACTTTTGCTTACAGAGTTCAACTTTTGCCTTTGGGATGTGACTGTTTACCGGGTGCCTGTTGGACTTGACTCCTAAAGGTACCCGACTGTGACCTTTCTGAACTGGCCGACTTGGCCTCCCTTGGCTTGAGACCTCGACCCTGAATTCGAATATGGGGTCTGCATCATGGAATGCCTTTCATCCCTCACCGCCTTGAACACAGTCTTCCCTCAGTCTGTGAGCATGCCTCCTACCCCTCTGAAATGCTGCTTCGTTTCTTCCTGTCCACAGCTCCAATATCATACCCTCTGTTAGAATTCTGCCTAGATCTCGTACACTCTTTCTTCCCCTGGTTCCCTTATCAGTCTCATGGGTATTTTATGTGAAGTCCAGTATCCCTATCCCGATTATTCAGCCGTGCTTTGGCTAGCCAGTGTTACTAGGATCGGGCCCACTGTAAGTGTGTTGGTGTCTCTTCTGCTACTGAAATGCCCAATGCCCAGTGGAATACGTGGCGTAATAAGAAACGTCAGAAATCGAACTCAGACACGAAACAAGCCCATGGGAGATTTGAGGAGAATGATATGTGATATCAGCATATGAGATGTTGGCCCCATTACCAATGCATCATTGTTGTTATCTACTTCTAACCCTTGCTTGTTCTATTACTTAATCTTTGTGTCTGAGTTCAATTTCTGAGATATGAGACGTCGGAGCCATAACTAATGCATCACTGTTGTTATCTCTAATGYCTCATATGCTGATATCATAAGCAACCTCAGAAATMGATTTCAGACACAAAGGGTAAGTAATTGAACAAGCAAGGGTTAGAACTTAGAATTGGATAACAACAATGATGCATTAGTTATGGCTCCAACGTCTGATATGCTGCTATCATCAGCAGCCTCAGAAATCGAATTCAGACACAAAGGGCAAGTAGGAGAACAAGCAAGGGTTAGAAGTAGATAAGAACAATGATGCATTGGTAATGGGGCCAACTTCTCATATGCCTATATCACATATCATTCTCCTCCAATCTTGAACGTGCTACCGCATAATGGAAAGTTCCAATAAGGATGGTGGCCTATGTCGAAACA